AGGTAGCAAATAACATACAGTTTTGAATGCTGAATTCTGTACTGATAAACCTTATGTGGATATTTTTGAGGCTTTAACAAAATGATCTACAATTTAAAAATCCTTAAAATTAGAAAGTAGCAGAACTTTTTTTCTCTAGTATAACCATGAATTTAAAGTTATTTTATTTAGAAATAAACGTTAAAGAAAAGCCAATCCCTGTGAATTCTGAAATGTTTTCATATTTTCTAAAATAAGACCAGAGTTTTTTCCTATGGCAAGGCACAAGAGCCATATCACACCCTAAGTTTTGCTTTGTGGTCTAGAGAAATCTACTGAATTCCTTTGGATCTCAGTTTCCTCAAAGGGACCATTCTTCCAGACCTAGGAAGAATATACTAACCAAGTAAGAGAAAAGCATTTAGCTTTTCTATGTCGGCTTCAATTTTGAGAAATTACTTCTAAAGCCAATAATCAGTTACTTTCATCTCAAAGAAGTTCCTCCATTCATGTGCTCTGATAGTTTACTTATGCCACTCTGCTTTACCAAAGATATTGCCCAGATGTTTACTATTCTCATCTTAAATCCAGGGTACTAGCAACTATGATAAACCAGCCCCAATTCTCCATAAAAATGTATTTCATCTGAAACCTTCAACATTAAAAAAAAAAATAGGTTCTGGCTGCCTATACCATAGCACTGAAATGTTCACTTGAGTAGGAAATAACTTTGCTTTAAAAAAAAAAAAATGTTACTGCTTACGCAGTTCGGCAAACTGCTAAAAGCACAGTGAACAAAAAAACCCCTGATGACTAGACCACACAGTAAGGCTTTCAGAACCACAAAAAGGAACACATTCTGTGAGACTGAAGATGGTTACTTTGATCCCACAGAACCCTAAACCATTCTCTCACCTTCCTGTCAGAGAATTCAACGTACAAACAGGTAATAGCAATTTTCGTGCAAACTACACTTTTGCACATTATGTTAGTAACATTCCTAAGTCCCATTTGGTAGAAAAAACTGAGATTTCCTGCACCAGGGCACATTAAGACTACTGTATAATGGCCCTGTTCGTGTCCCCTTCATATAGTAGTACTATATTTGTGTGGTTAAGAGTAAAAATGAAATAAGTTAAGTAGAAAACCCAAAAATGAGCACAGATACTAGCAGAGGTTAAAAGACTTAATTCAGCTGAAATAAAGAAATGAATTCTGAGATAAACTAGTATTGGTACATCTCCTAGTCAGAAATTGCCTAGTTTAAACTTGTCAAATGAGTGTTTGTCAAAGAAAAAAAAAAAAAATCGACGAACAAGTTGAGATGCTGGTGATGTATCATTAATGCCTATGTAAGAGAAATAAAAAGAACGTGGCATATATAATTTCTTCAGCACAATTAACTTGACTACATGTTCTCTGAAACATATTACAGGGAACTAACTGCCTATATTTCGAAGTAACAATTAACCTTAGGTATGGGACCACCTTAAGCAACTCAAAAATATGCTGAAACTCTTACAGTTAGCACAGAGTAATGTTCACATGACTTCAATTTCTACCTAACCATGGTTCAGAGTTGAAAAATCACTTAAACACGGATTTTCCACTCCGGTCTCCCCTCCTCTCCTTGCTTTTTGGAGGAGCCAATTCTCAACACAGCACATAACTACAGATGTTTTTTCCGCATCTGTGCCCAAGCTGCAAAGCAGCACTTCAAGACAAACAAAAACGGCAAATCGCACATTCAGGCCAACTCCTACTGAGCTATCTTTTTCCTCACTTGCCAATTTCTTAGTATATACCCAAAAAGGGCTACTCCGAGTCTCTTCTTCACGTTTCCAGAAGATGCCCAGTTTAATTATTAGATTTGTAATAGTTTTAGAACTAAAGAATCTCAGGAGATATTACTGCCAGCTCCTTCATTTTAATTATAAATAAAGCAAGAGCTAGAATTTAAAGGACTATGGCTTTACAAACACTGAGGCAATTTACTTGAATCCCCTCATTTTCAATGTGTTTACTGCCTCTTGATCCATTCATTATGCCTCAGGAGCAGATCTACAGAGAAGTCAAGGGCTCAGCCTGAAGCCACACTGCCTGACTACTGTTCCAGCTAGGCCACTTACTAGCTATGTTCATCTGGACAAATCACTTAAGTCTCTGTGCCTTGGTTTCCCCACTTGTAAAACAGAGGAGAATCGTAGTATCTGGCTCATTAGTTTGTGACCAAGAACTAAAACATGTAAATGCACGAGAACTGAACCAAGCACACAGTCACTACCATCATTCACCATGGAATCTCTGGCAAATGAGAACGTGCCTCTATTCTACCGTTAATTCTCAGTCGTTCTCAATTCCGCACTCTCTCCATATCCAAGAACTCCGATGCTCCAGTCTTCTCCCCTTCAACAGCTTGAAGCAAAATTCTCCCACTCCACATTTCTTCTTTCTTTTGATGCCAAGTTTCTTAAATTAGACTTCTTCATTTCCCACACCTACGTACCAGTTTGTTTTTGAAGACTTGTCCTTTGGCTCTGGGATTTTTGTTCTCTGGACTCCAACACTTAATCCTCAGTACGTGCTACCACACGTCCAATCTCGATCTCCAGTTCGGAGTTCCTGCTCAAGCTCTAAACCTGTATATCTCTAAACACAATTCTGTGATGATCTCACACTCAATTTCCCTCACATGTGAAATGATCTCTAAGGCTGCTTCCAACTATAAAAATCTCTAATATTACCGAAAACAAAATTTGTCACCTCCTCAATCTATTCATTTCTAGCCTATCGCTTTACTCAAAAATTTCCAGGTTCTCCCTTGCTTCTAGCAAACAACCTCCCAATTCTACATTTATATATCATTTTCATTCTAATCTTCTTAAAATATTCTGTCACATTATCATCCACTTAAAAATTTCCAAAAAACTCCACTGTTAAGTCCAAATTCCTTAGCTTGACATTCAAGTCTTTCTCCAATCTGTTCCCAAACCACCTTTGCAACATTACAATCTATTAATCCCCACAAATTATTATATACCTCAAATTCTTATTTACCACCTTTAGTACACATTAGGTATACCAAATTTATTATTTCTGTATAATCACATGACATCTGCCATCCTGGAATGCCTTCCACATTGTTCACTTATATCCCAAATTTTTCACGGCTCAGTTCAATTTGGTATCTTCCCATGAAATCTTACAGCCCAGGATAATCTCTCCCTCATATGAATTCCTAAGCCATTTACTGCTCATTCAATTCATTTCCCACTTAATTATATAACGCCTCACACTGGTATCCAAATGTCTGCATCATCTCTTACATCACAGTAAAGACAAGGGTATCATAACCCTTCGCACCCACTGCATTTTCCTAGAAAGCTGTGGAGAGCAGGCACTAAAAAAACCTGTTGATTGCATGAACGCCACAATCACTTTGCTTCTTGAAACACTAGCTACCTGCTTACATAATCCCATTTAAGAGAAAGAAATTATGGAAGGAATAGTAGAAACAGAAGGTGACTATTTTGTAACCACCATAGTTATAATGATTCATGCAAGAATCATCAATGGATGCTAAAACCATCACATGAAAGTTTCTTGGGGAACAGGATATTTATACAGTCTCAAAATATATCTGAACAAATTACTTATGAATTACAAAGGGAAAAAAGGTACCTTCACAGTGGAGAAATCTGGCGGACACCAAGTGATCAAAGTTAACATCACCAATAATGGGATAAACTGACATCATGTGCCTCCTGATGTGATGCACTGAGGACACAACATCACTTATGTATTATTCCTGCCAAAAATGCATAACCTGAAACTAGTCATGAGGAAACAATCAGACAAACCAAAAACCGAGGGACAATCTACAAAACAACTGGCCTATACTCGTCAAAAATGTCAATGTGCTGAAAAACAAAAAGCTGAGGAACGGAGTGTATGATCCTGGATTGGATCCTGGATCAGAAAATGAACTGCTCTAAGGACATCACTGCTACAGAGGACAACTGATGAATATGAATGTGGACTGTATTTGGTAACAGTATTATAGTAATGTTAAACTGCCTAATTTTGAACATTGTTCTCTGGTTAAGTGAGAGAATTTCCTTGTTCTCAGGACAAACATCCCAGAGTATTTGAGGGTAAATGATCTTAAAACTTATTCACTAATTGTTCAGTAATAGTAATATCAATAATAGTAATAATAACAAATATCAACAGCAAGATTGGCAAAATGTTAGCAACTGTTGAATCTACAAGAGATCACTGTACTATTTGGTGCAACTTTTCCATTTCTTTTCAAAATAAAATTTAAAAAACGAACACCCTACTACCACACAAAAACTTTGAGAAGTTTTTATTTATCTGTGGTATTTTACATTTCATCAGACAATCTTAAAAGCAAGACATACTTGCAATAGAAAACTTTGCTTTATATAAAGATTTATTCTAAAAAAACAAAAACATCATTTTAGAACCAAAGAAACATTTTCTAATTTTAATAGCCCAACACTAATTTATGTTTTTTTTAAAAAAAATTCATGTTTGCTATGGAACTTGGTTAAAACAGAGTCAATTTCAACTGGTGAAAAGTCTTAGAGGATATTTTTTAAACATTGTAGCTTTATTCCTTTCAAGTATACAGAAAGCAAGTATAGAGAAAGCTAAAATGGGCTGACTGATTAAGCATTTCAAGGAAAAAATAATGATCTGTAAATCACACATTAATAAACAAGCATTTATAAGTTAATCAAAGTCTGTTTCCTTAATAATGATTACAAAGAATGTATTTATCATAAATCACAAATTTCATCTTCCCTCAATTATCAAAAATTGTGACTTAGCTGGTTAGAAATTCTGAGTGAGGTTTTAGAATACAGCCACTAATTATTATTTCTCTAGGCTTCCTACAGCCTTTAAAGCTAACACTGCTAGTCACAGTACTATATAGTATATCAAGGATTTTCTAGATTCCAAAGAATTAGCAATAGTCCTTTAAGGTTGGATACCTTATTTATGAGATGTTCGGTAACAACTTCTCTTAGTCCAGTGTAGAGCTTTTCTCCGTGTTTATGCAAAACCATTGTATAAGCATTTCTATAGAGCTCCTCAAAACTAAGACCACTGTTATTCTTACGCTGGATTTCTTGAATTGCATTTTTCAGAAGGTCCCAAATGCTGTTTACATATTTTTCATCCATGGTCATCTGTAATATCCAAGAGAGACAAAAAGACAAAAAAAAACACCAATGGTTGAAAATCTTTCTGTATTTGTCCACAGAGTAATTATTTTATTATATGGCTATGACTATAAATCTGCATTACTTAATAAGGATGTTAACAGTCTGTTCTAACAAAAATTAAAAAATACACATAAGAATAGTTTTTAGAGCTGACAAAAGCCAATTTTTTAAAAAATCCTTAAGGCTTTCCTCCTTTCTTACATGCATCAAAACCCTCCAATTTAAATGAAATCATAATCCCCGATGTTAATACCTGGCTTTAGCCAAAAGTGTTAAGACATCCTTCCCTTAGTTTATTTAGTGGAATACAAGCTCAGAGAGATGCTGAGACAGAAAGAGTTCCCTAATTAAAAACAAAAAAAACGAAACTGAGGACATGAACACTATTTTCCTCTCCTGAAGATTTACAGAGCTCCTTAGCAAATTAAAGATTGGAAGAAGACGTGCAATTAAAAACAAAACAAAAACCCCACATTTTCTGTTTAACCTAGGATTCTCTTATTTTCTTTCCTTTCCCAGTTCAGATTCCACAGTCCCATCATTTGTAGCTACCTTGTATACACCCATGAATCACTTGCCCCTCTCCCCTCCAAAATACTTACCATTCTAAACCACATCTACCCACCAACTCCTCACACTCACCCATGTGTGTAGCTGAAAGTAAATGAGTAACACACACACACCCATATTCAATAGGTCTTGGTTTAAATACATAACCACTAACCACAAGTGGGCCCAGAGTACAACCCCACCATCCTACATTCTAGACTGTTAACTCTACCAAACAGCTGATTTTACACCATCTCCTTCATCCTCACTCTAGGATAATGACTTGCTTCCTGTTCTACTGAGAAAACAGAAACAATCTGAAGACACAATGCACAAACCCCAACCATATCCACCGATCTATAGGATTATGAATCAATATACCCTGCTAGTCCTGGTTCTCAAAGTACCAAGTTCTTCTGCTCAAATTATAGCACAGGGACTAGCAACACAGACATCATCAAGGACTTACCACAGAAATGCAGAATTTCAGGCTCCACCCCAGACCTACAGAACCCTAGTCAGCATTTTGAACCCAGGTGATACCTATACAGAATGAAGTTTAGTTCCATGCCAACTCACCTATAAAGAACCTCCCTTTATCAATCTCCCTTCTCCTCATCATCACCACATTCTTTCCTTTCTGCTAGATAATTTCCACCCACATTCAAAATCATCAGTTTCCCATGTTAAAAAGAAATCCTCACAAACCCTCATACTTCTCCAGTACCATCAAATTTCTCTTTTCCATTTACAGAGAAATCACAAGACTTAAGAGATTTCTACATTCACTGACTCCAAGCCCCACTTCCCCCACTGTATCTTGACTCTACTCCAATAAGGCTTTCATTTCTACTGTTTCACTGAAACTACTTGAGAAAGTCATCAGCGACTTCCATCCTGCTAAATGTAAACGGTCAGAGTTTTAGTTCTCATCATACCTGACCCATCTGGCAGTTAATGAAAAAGCTGATCATGCCTACTCCTTGAAACAGATTCCTTGCTTTGCCTTCCAAGCATTACAATCTCTTGTTTTTCTTCCTATTTCTCTAGCTTCTATTTGTCAGTCTGCTTACTGGTTCCTTCTCACAGCAAACTCCCACCCTAAACCCCTCTGGCCACAACTCAGTTTTCAGGTGAAGCTGGTCTCATCTATGTTCACGGCTTTAAGTTAACCTCAAATTTATAGACCTCGTTTGGCCTTCTGCCCTTGATGCCAGAGTCCTACATTCAGCACCTTTTCAATGTTTCCACTTGAATACCTACGAAGCATCTCAAATTTACCGTGTCCAAAACAGAAATCCTAATCTTTGCCCCCAAAGTCTGCTTCCCCTGCAGCCTTCTCCAAATGAGCAAATGTCCACACCATCCTTTCGGTTGCTAAGGCCAAAAGTTTGTAATCCCTTGTATTCCCTCATCTTGATTCTAATCCAACAGGAAATTCTGTTGTTTCTACCTCCAAAATGTACCCAGAATCTAACTCCTGCTCACCTCTTCCACTACTACTAGCCTTATCCAAACCACCATCAACTCTCAGACCATCCCAACAGCCCCCTAACTGGTCTGTTTCTGCTCTTGCCCCACTATCATGCCACTCTTCTGCTCACAACCCTCCAGGGACTTTTCATTGCTCTTGGAGTTATAAGTCAAAGTCCTTATACAAACTACAAAATGTGACTCAATCTGATCATCTGACTTCATCTATTCCTCCTTGCTCACTCTGCTCCAGCACACCAGCCTCTTTGCTATTCTTCGGAAGGTGTCAAACAAGTTCACTTTGAGGTGTTTGTATTTGCCACTCTCTATTGTCTCTCAACTGTTCTTCCCTAAGGCATCTCCATAGCTCAATCACTTTGTCAACCTCACAAACGCTGCTCATCACCACAAAATAAAGCTTTAACTGCTCACTCCCTTTAAAATAGCAGTCTACTCTTACTAGTGACCCCCCAAATTCCAATACTACATTCCATACTTCTTTTCCTGGCCTCCCTCTTCCAGCCCATGAAGTCCACTCCATGAAGGCAGGGATTTTTTTCACTGTGGAATCCCTCACCAACTAAAGTAATACATGGCATATAACAGACATTCATACTTGTTGACAGAATGATTTCCTACTAATCTCTAAGGACCTGTTATTATGCCACATATAACCCACATGTTCTGCATTCACAACCTGGGAAACATGGCAACAATTACTCATCAGCTCCGCAAATATTTCTGACCTGAACTGAATAGAAATTACTGAGCTAATGGAATCCTCTCCAAAGAGGGTAGGAAGAAACTTTTGGAGGTGATGATGAGTGTGTTTATTGCACAGGTTATGTTGAAGGCCTCACAGGTGAATACTTACCTATAAATCCATCAAGTTGCACACCTCAATGAAGTGGTTTATGGAAAAAAAAAACAAAAACAAAAAAAAACACAATCCTTTCCAAGCTATGTCCAATGGGTATGAATGTGGAAGAGTAAGGAACATAGGCAAAATAGTTCTTTCTGTCACCCTAGCAATAAAGTATCAGTTCAACCCTCAATCATAGAGGATTCTTAAGCAGAGGACTCAAACTGAGTCTTATTATTCTAATCTTTTCTGGGGTGCTTAAAAAGGAACTCTTTAACAGAACAACTTTTTTATTACTCAAATCGTATTCAAATCCCAGGTCTACCAGAAACTTTTCCAAAATGGCCTTTAAAGAATTTACCCCAACATCAAAACTACTATCTATTTTTATCACATATCCTGACACATAGGATGCCATCCATATAATGTATTTTAAGATGTAGCTGGTCGTAGGTTCCCATAAATAAAATATACAAGTCCATGTGATAATGACGGCCTCAAGTACTCCATGTATGTGTGCAATGTGGTTTTAGTTTGCTGGCAGCATATACAGAGATTAAAAAGCAGACTAAAAACATCTCTTGACATTAAATAACAAATGAATAAAGCAAAACAATTCCAGAGAAAAACCAAGTTAATGTGGACTATAAACTCCAGTGATAACTATATTGCTAATAGTTGAGCAAATCTGCAAATGATCTTTCCAGGCTCTAAATAAGTTCCCATGAAAGCTAGAAAATGTACAAAAATATCTCTACCCATCATGAATTACTAAATTTGCTATTAGAAACTAAAGAATTTTAAAAAACATAAATCAGAGACTTTGACAATTATAGGAATTTCCTTTACATTATAATAAATCATTTCTTACATATATAAACCAAGAGTCATTTTATAATCCAAGACTGTATGTAGTATTTTCTTCAGTATTCATGTTTTATGGACAGAGTAGAGATGGAGCAAAAGGATAACAATGTTTAGGTGCAGAAATTTTCAAGTAAATAAAAATAGACCCAGAGAGACTGAATGACTTACCCCAAATCACAGAAATTAGGATTTATATATCCCCAAATCTAGTCCAAACTACTGGAATCACATTACATTCCACTGTGCTAATATGGTATAGTAATATCACAGTGTCAGTCACTGATTTTCCTGGGAAACATAGTGTGGAATATTAGTAGAGTATCTAACTTTTGCTGTCCAAAAGGCCTGGATTTGTGTCATGGTTTTGCTAAATTGACAACCCAAGTGACCTTGGAAAAATTACTTAAATCTTCATTTCCTCACTTGTTAAGGAGGTTTAGTGACAGTATCCAGCTCAAAGGACTAACATGAAGATTAAAGAAGGTCAGAAGAATTTAGCCCAGCCCAGGACACAGCACAATCCCTCACATGTCGACTAACAAAAGTTTCCAGTGATAGAATCTCTTGAACTCTCATCAATGGGAATAACTGTCACAAAGAAAAAAACAAAACAAAACAAAACTTTTCAAGCTTAATAAAAAAAAAAAACAAAAAAAAAAACATGAGCTAAAACAACAATACTTAAGGGTACAACTATGCTAAATGCAAGTCAATATAATGAAGCCTTCTTTCAGAAACAGTATTCCCTACTTCATATCTCCTATTCTTCCAGTGCCATTTTAAATGGCATTTTAATCCCCAGGGCTCTGTCTTTAGCTGTTTTCATTCTCTACTGGGTCACTATGCATTTCCATCCATTATCATGATTACAATTATTACCCACACATCTAAAGTTCAAAAAACTGTAAGACACCAGATTAGCAAGGGATTCTGAAGCTTCCTAAAACTGCACACAAAATTTTGCCAAATAATGTTGTGTGCATTTTCTTTTTCTGGATGATGAGTCTTGAGCTCTTTCAGATTTCCCACGAAGTTTGGCCCACATCTCAAAGAATAAGTTACTGGCTTGTGTGTTAATTGCTCCCAAATCTGTACTGCCAGCCCAGATGTTCCTCCAAAACATGAAACTACCGTATTCAATTGCCTGCTGGACATCTCAAACTAAATGCTCCAGAAACAGATCAAACTTACCATGTCCAAAAGCCCTGTTAAACTAACCCTCCTCCTATATTCTTTAATTCACAAACCAGCTAGTTTAGAAGCATGTATAACTAGCTAGTTTGTGAATTATTTATGTATAACTTTTCTTCTTCCTCTCTCATCCCCATCTCATCCAATCATCAGGTGCTGCTAACAGTAGGACCAAAATATTTCTCAAATATGCTCCCATTCTTTCATCCTGCATACTACTGTCCTAAAACTTTCCTCTAGATCACTATGACAGCATTCCAACTATCATGAACTCGAATACCTCTCAGAATCTATCTTCCTCAGAATCACCATTTAAAAAATAAATATGAGCATCATGCCCCTGTTCAAAACCTAGTTCTCATTAATAACAGGGTGGAAGGATGTACTTTAAAAGTGTACTGTAATCATATTCAAAATCTAGTCTATTCCTACTTCTCTAACTTCATCTTTCACTCACTACTACATTTATTCCTAACAACATTAAATCAGTGGTTATTCCCATCCAGTGAGACACCTCCCCCTCATTCACCACCCTCCCATGTCGCCTTTTTTTTTCATTAAAAAAAAATTTTTTTTTTTTTACTTTTTCTTATTTTGAGAGAGACAGAGACAGCTTGAGCGGGGGAGGGAGAGAGAAAGAGAGAAAGAATGAATCCCAAGCAGGCTCCATGCTACCAGCTGCAGAGCCCAATGTGGGGCTTGAACCCACAAACTGTGAGATCATGACCTGAGCCGAAACCAAGGGTCAGGCGCTCAACCGACTGAGCCACCCAGGCGCCCCATCTTCCCATGTTTTCTTAAAATCCTCTCCTCTGCCTCTTCTATATCTGATTCTTTACAAAGATTCTGAACACAGCTCTGATGTCCTCTATCCCCCAGGAATCCTTCCCTGACCTTCTATCGCAGAGTGGACTCCTTCTCAGCTCTTTCATAATACTCAGGTCATATCTATCACTACACTCCATACTGCTTCATAATTATCTGTGCATCTTTTTCCTCCAGTAGACTACAAGATACTTAAGGAGTTATATATTTTTCTTCAATGTCACTTAGAAGGCCGTAAACAAATGTCTGGTGAAAGTACCTTGATTTATCTGTATTACACTAATGCAATTTTGAAAACACGAACACCTGAATTAGTAAGCATAAAGATATGGAAATATATTTTAAGGTGCTTATCTACTGCAATTAACGTAATTTTAAAATAATCAAATGTCCTTTTCAAATAAAATATAATCATGTGCAAGCAAGCAATAAACCCTTAAATTTCATTTATCAAGTAGTATTTTCAGATTTTCCTATTCACTTAACTACTTAATCATTAATTTTATTAATAAATATTAACTAGGAAGAAAATCACAGGCAGAAAAGCCCCTTCAGGAGAGGATCCATAAGCTACAATCTTTCCCCTAAATCAAAAAACTGAAAACAAAGGAAATGGGCTTCAAAAGCAGATTCTTCTATATGCATGCTTTTGGTCTTAGAATCTACTGAACATGTCAGTAACAGTGCTAAAATAATTATGTTATTGATGAACTTCAATTTCTCACCCATCCTTGGTACAGAATACAACATTAACTGCCAATGAAAGTTAAAAGAACTAAATGTTAACCTCTAATCTCATCAATATTTTTTAAAATTTTTTTTAATGTTTACTTATTTTTGAGAGCCAGAGTGTGAGCAGGGAAGAGGTAGAGAGAGTGGGAGACAAAGAATCCGAAACAAGCTCCAAGCTCCGAGTTGTCAGCACAGAGCCCCACATGGAGTTCAAACTTGCAAACTACGAGATCATGACCTGAGGTGAAGTCTGATGCTTAACCCACTGAGCCACCCAGGCGCCCCAAATTTCATCAATATGTTAGCCACAAAAACATCAGTCTATATACTTCACTCAGAGTCATAAAACTTAAAGGCCTTAACGTTGTGTACTTTTTTAAAAAGAGTAGTAACATTTTTTTTAAAGTGATATTCTAAATTATTTGAGCAGGATTTTGATCTCATTGATGAAATTGCTTTACTTAGGATCCATTAATTACAAATACACTCAGGAAGGAATGTAATGCCTCCACAAAACAATAAAATAATGGAATGCATACACACACGTAATGTTTGCTCATTATTAGGCATATACAGTATTCTGCTCCAACAAGTTCAAGTTATAAAGTGATCAGCAAGGAAGGTAAATTCATTTAGCAAGAAAACAAAAGTTCTTTTTAAAAGGAAAGCTATAATTAAGTATTCTTAAATGCTTATGGTTTAATGAGACTTTTAAAAAACAAATCAAGAGTTTAATTTTTAAAAATGACCTCCACCCTCTTGTATCTTCCTAATCCAGGATTACAATTCCCTCATTAGTAAGTATCAATAGCAAAAATAACCTTAAGTGTTTATTTTCTTTCACAAATATCTTTGGTTATTCATCTACACTATTTCAAATGATGTAAAAACATAACCTTTAAAATGTCTGAATTTGAAAGGATGTCGGTCTGTTATATACTTACACATCTTGAAGGTTCTGTAATTACCAAGAGTTGGAGAGAACTACAGCATGAGCCAATTAAACTAAAATGAAGAGAACTGTATTCTTCACATCCACTGTATACAAAGCACAAGAAGTCTTTAGTCCCCTGTGAATAATTTTCAACAAGAAATTTAGAACAGGGTGGGTGGGGGAAAAGGGTGAGAATTTGAAATTCCAAGCAATTCAGAATGACACAGCTAGAAAAAAATAAACAAGGAAAAATGCTTAATCTTAATTTTGAGCTTCAGCCTCAAAAAAAAATTGCTCTGGTACAAATATCTGAGGAATGACAGTATTCTAGTGAGACACAACTAAGCCATAAATTATGTAAGGAAGCTGCCTTCCAGATTATAAGCAACTTAGAGTAATATAAAGTCTCCCTCCCTTTATTTTATTTTATCCTTTATAATACATGGGACAATGCCGAGGTGACTCTCAAAAACTATGATCTGAATGTAGTCCAGTTACAGTTAATGATGATGATGAGTCTTATCTGATGACCAATGACTATACAACGGCTTATGACATCTGCAATAATCCCATTTATCCATCAGTTAATCTTTAACCAACCTCAACCATCAAAAATACAACCAAAGACTCAAGTATTAAGGAAAACAGTACAATGCTATACATTCATATTTTGGAGAAGTTATTTAACTTTGCAGAGTTTACTTTCTTCACACACTTGTGGCAGGAGAAATGGGAGATGATGTACTGTGTGGCAATTAAGAAAGTTTGTGAAAGCATCTGGCACACAGCACTTACTCAATACATTCGCTTCTTTATTACACAAAACTGACGTACAGCCTCACTTAATGACTTAAACCTGCATGTAAAGTTGAGACTGATGTTTCTTTAACCAGTTTCTCTGTGGTTACAGTGGAGATCAGATGAGTGCAGAACCATGCTGCCGAAAGTAGGAACTGATGTCAAGGGAGCAGAGAAAAAGATGATCAATTAGAAAGGCACAGGATCCTGGGACAATTCTGTGAAATCACAACCTAAACCCGATCCACATTCAGCTGGCCTCTAATACCATTATAGAACAGTATGTTTATTTATTTATTTTTTAATGTTTTTATTTATTTTTGAGACAGAGAGAGACAGAGCATGAATGGGGGAGGGGCAGAGAGAGAGGGAGACACAGGATCGGAAG